AGTTGATTACTCTTATCTTAATTTTAGCTTAATATAACTATTATAAATAATAATTTTAAATCAGATAATAATAAGACTAATACTATAACAAATTATATTTTATTTTGCAGATTATTATTATATCATATATTACATTATATATAATATTGCATCACAAAAATTATCTTAGCTTGTCAAAAATATTATATAATATATTTGAGTTATTTTAGTTATAGATAGTTTTCTTAGTAGAATTTCTCTTTTTTCTTATTTTATTAATATAACTAGTATATTATTTTATTTATATTTTTCATTTATAATTATTTATTTCTTTATTTATATATATTATTAATTTATATTTATTTATTATTAATTTTATATAATATTAAATTATAATTTAAAGATATTATTTCTATTTTATATTTATAATAATATAATAATATAATAATAAATAAAAAATAAGTTTTAAAAAAATAATAATCTTATTTGTTTTGAATTAGTTTTCTATATAAATTTTATTTCAAATTATATTACTATATATCTTGAATCTTCTATATGAATTTTTCTGATATATTATACAATATTATAATTAGAAAAGTTATATATTTTAATAATATTTAAAAGTCAGTTTATTTTATAAAAGATGATATAGAATATGAAATTTTTATAAAACTTCATAATATTAAAAATAAATTAAGATATAAAAATAAATTAGAATTAGCATAATTAAAAAATAATAAGTTAAATTCTTCAGATTCAGTTACTTTAGATAGTAATTTAAATAATTTCTTTTATATCTAATTTAAAAATAAAAGTTATATATATATAAGATTAAAGTATTAAACTTGAAGAGTTATTACTTTACAATAAAAAAATATCTTATTCAAAAGTATAAAGTAAAAGATAAATTAATTATTAGACTATGTAAATTCTATTATATTTCAAAATAAGACCAGAATATAATTATTAAATTAGAATAATTATTGATTATTCATATTATAATAAGATGCTATATATATTTATAATAATTTTCTTTTCTTTATTTTTAATTTTAGATATAAATATTAATTAATATTAGCTAATTTTTTGATAAAAATTTTATATAATTATTAAAAAAAGATATTTAAAAATAATAATAGTCTCTTATTAATAAATCAAAATTTTTTATCTCGCTATTAATAAATTTTTTTATTAGTATATTTAAATTATTTTCTAAGAGATTATGAAATTTTTCAAACTTTTAAAGATATATTCTTATATTTTTATTAGCTTTTTTTATTATTTCTTGATTAATATAACTAATGATATTAAGTTCTTTCTGAATTAATATTATATTATCTTTTAAGTATAAAAGTAAATTAAATAATTTTAAAAATAATAAATTAAAAGAATTTTTATTTTTGATTTATCACATTATTATATTTTACTATTAGAATAAAATTATTATTAATATTAAGATTTTTCTGTATCAGTATTAAATCTCTCATCAAATATAATAATAACTTATATGAATTAGCAAGTATTTTTCTATTAGACTTATATTTTATTTGCTTTAATATATTATTACTAATATTAAATTTTTCTTGAATTGCTATTATATTCTTCTTCTTATATAAAAATATTTTATATAAAGAAGTAAATATTTTACTTTGATCAAATTTATTATTAATATTATTTATTATATTTACTTAATAAAATATTTTGACTAGTTAAATATATTTAATATAGAAAATAATATATAAATTGAGTAAATATAATAAATTTAATCTGAAAATAATTATAAGCTTCAAAATTATATTATATTATAATAAGTCTTAGAGAAGTAATATCATATATTTTAAATCTATAAATTAGAAATTAGTATAAAAGTTTATAAAATATAAATAAAAAGATAATTAATTTATTAATAATAATGATTTAATTTTTCAATATATAATCTATAATATATAATATAAGAATCAATAGTTTATACTTTTACTATTATTATTAGAATTGAATTTTGATATTTATTTATATAATAATAAAGATAATAAGTTTTTTTATTATAATATTCACCAATATTCCAAATACTCTCTATATAATTTTTAAAATTTTTTTTTATAATTTTTATTATATAAAGAGCAGAATACTGATCTACTAAAATCAAAATAATTAGTTTTAAAACTATATTTTAAAGTTAAATAAGAAAATTACTCTAATATTATTTTAATAACATATTTTATTTCTCTTCTGAATCTTTAGATAAAATAGAAATTGGAAATTATTATTTAAATAATATAATAGATAAACTATTTATATAAAATCTTTTTTTTAAAGTTTTAGAATTTATTCAGGAATCAAGTTTAATTTCTTTCTTATATCTTTTATGTAACTTGAAATGAATATTATCTGTTAAAATTTCAATTAATTTAGTTTGCCAATCTAAATATTTAGGAGTTAAATACAAAGTGTTCTGCTTTATAGAGATTTTATCAGATTTGGTTTACAAGTTTAAAACACTCATGTTGTTATTTTATAAGCTCACAAATCAATTTAAATTTTTATATTAGATATTACTTATAAAATAATGATACTTATATGCATAAAAAATATTAAATGTATATACTATTTCAATAATTCTGCTTCTTACATTAATTTTTATTTCATAATAATAATAAAAATGCGCAAAAAGATAAAATTTATATAATTAGTTTAGTGTGAGCCAATATAATAATACCAATTTCAGATGCTTCACATTTAATATAGTAAGATCTATCTTTATATTTAGCTTCTATATCTTCTTTATTCTTATAACTTAACTTGTATATTAGACATAATAAACTAGCATTAATTCCATAATAATTAATATTTTTATTACTACATTCTTTATATAAATCAGAATATTGTTCCAATAATTTGTTACAAAAATAATCATGAATATATGCTGGATTATTTTACTTTTCAGACAGGATCTTCTTGGATTGAGATGTGGATAATATATTTATTTTTTTATTAGGCAAACAAGAAATATTAGTGACAGATGTTTGAGATAAAGAAATAGATGTGATTGAAATGATTCCTTTGAAATCAACCCTTACCTCAAATTTGATATACATGATTGAGATGCTTATCTCAGCTCTTTGATTTCTTGCTTGTGCCTCTGATGTATTAGTCTGATTGATTTTAAAGTTACTTAACTCTGATCGTTCTCTTGAGGAATGGTTTTCAAGATTACTTGATTTATAATATTTTGGATTTATGTATTAGTTAGTTTTGAAATCTCACTTGTGCTATATGAGACTAGCTTAATTTTATCTAACCCAACCCCATTTTTCCCAAATAACATGAGATATTTTCTAGCCCTAAGAGTTTTCTTGCGCAAGTCATCTTGTAAGATATTAGGTAGAAATAGTTTCATTTCCTTATAAATCATTGATCTTGCTATTTTATCTTTTATCTTACTATCAGCAGTAAGAGCATCTATCTTGATCTCGAATTCAAAGGAATAATCATGCCAGTCTAATATTTCCCGCTGACTAGATTTTATTGCTGTTTCAAATAAATAAGATAAGCGTTGGGCAGAACCCGAAACCATATTCTCTGAACTAATGCAAGAGCTGATGATTTCGGTAGAGTTGACATTGTCTTCAGGTGATATGGATGAACACAATTCGCGTATTAGGCCTTGTTCAACGATTTGATTTTTATCAAGCGATTCATCTGGAATTAGTTCATCGTCTTGCTTCACAGATATTTGAGTATCTGGCACATGATTCTGATCGTTCCCCGAGGGAACTGTTTTTTCGAATTCTCCAAATTTTCCGAAATTATCCAATCGTTCCCCGAGGGAACGGTTTTTGTATTGTATGGCGAGTTAGAAATAACTGAGTCCTGGGTAGATGATTCATGCTGAAGCTTCTTTTCCCGCCTCTTCTCTCTAATCTCATCACTGATGCTTTTCTTATGCGTCTCATCCAAGAAAGCATCCACTTCCTTTCCTCTGATGACTCGGTGTTTGCATTATTGAGCTGGTTTACTACGGGGTCGGATACATTAACAGTTGGTACCTTTGGTATCGCTTCCTTATCGTTCTATGACTTTCCATCTACTGCCAAGGAACCTTGTTCCAATATTACAAGTCTGGCCTCAAGCTCTGTATTTTTTTGCTCTAGTTCCTTGACTCTAGCATCACGCCTGGAATTCTCCTCAACAATCCAACTCAATTTTACGTTTTCGGCTTCAACTTCAGTAACCTTCTTTCTAAGTTCGGGAATCTCGGCATTCTCCTTTCTAAGCTCAGAAATCTCGGCTAAGAGCTTCGAATTTAATTCTTTCAACGAATCGATTTTGAATTGAGTGTCTAACATTCTTTTATATAGAGAGTATATTTATTCAAACCTTTTTATCGTGCAGACATGGAAGTTATTCATGTGATTAAAATTTGCGGGATGGGCCGTCTCGAAAAAATGCCAAGATCGTGATGTCCATATTGCTTAAATTTAAAAACTATCTACTATCCACAGCACGCATTAGTTATAGAGGTAGAAGATATACAACACGAGCAATATGAAAGACTTTAACCCAATTCCTGAAAAACTCAAGCAGTTAGGGATTATATGAATAAATCAAGCATTTATGGGTCGCGTAAAAATCAAAGTTATATCTCTACAGAAGGATCTACATGACGTAATACGAATTTTCGTTCAAATGTGGCGGGAGTATTTGTGTTTATTACACTAACTCCAGATGTCAGAACTGATAAGTGGTTTAAAAAGGAGAAAAACAAAATTTCAGGTTGTCACATTCGTACATAGTGCTTTCAGAATCTTATTGCATTCAAGGTGTTAACGTAAGATCCCACCACAGGTGTTAAAAACTCATACCCATCTGAAACTAAAGAGTCTCAAACTAGTGAGTCGAAAAAAACGAATCTGAAACCCTAACACCCGATCTCGTTACTGGTTCGTGATTTTTAGAAATCTTTTTTGTTTATATATTACTAAAGTGTATTAACATGTCGACCCACCACCTCCTCAGGCAAAATGTCGAACATCTATACAGAGATTGCACGCCTCAAACTCAATACAGAGCAAAAGTCTGCCCTAATCTACTACCTCACTGAAAATGGCGAAGCTGAAGCTAAAGCAGAGAAAGCCTTCACTGCCTGCAACAATGATGAAGAGAAACATGCCTATCTAAACTTAGTCTTGGCGTCTTGTATGTGTCTCGTAATTTCTATTAATATTTTTTGTTCGTTTATACTAATGAAGTGTGTGTTAATGTGCTAACCTACCATAGTCCACAAAAATCCTGAGTTATCTGAAAAGTCTCGCTCAACTGAAATTGAATCGGTCAACCTCGTTACTGGTTCGTAGTTTCTAGTGTCATTATATTATGGTGATATTACCCATCTACTTATAGATGATAAAATATCCGAGTCTCATCTAGAATTTGTTGAAAAGCTAAAGCTCGATACATCTGAAGAGCCTGTTTTCGGAAAATATGACCCTAAAGATGCAGATCTCAAAAGGTTTGCTAAAAAACTGCACCTCGACCAAACGGACTACGCAAGATTAACGGACAAAGATATAGAGAAATTTTACGGTACATAAAAAATATGACCAGTTTGATTGAATTTTAATTCATATATCCTTTGTTATCACCTCGCAGAATTCGTTGGTCCTGATGTTGCTTGGCCTCCTACAATAGATAAATCCGAGCACTGTCTCATCTTTGATTGTTTTGCCCATCCTGAGGAAAGACAAGACGAAGAATATGTAAAAAATCTTATTGCATATCAGCGCTTCACCGAGGCTGGACAATTTGATCCATCTAAAGGCTTGATAATCGACGGAAAGATAGTCCGTTATGGACCAAAATTATGGGGCAAGGAATACGAAAAAATGCTGTCGAAGAATCCAGGAGCGTTGTACGCGTCTATTATCGAAGAGGTGATCGACGCGAGATTCTCTTCTATTGCAGATAATACAAAAAAGGAGTAGCAGGTTTGTGTTTGCACAATTTCACGTACTTATGTACAATAATGAAGATTGCATCGGTGGAAATTACTTTTGCCAAAACAACAGGTACACATGCAGATTAGGAAAAAAGCAAATCCCAATGTTATAGGAATAATGTCAAATATCGAACTAGACACCTCCATTAATTGTAAGTATCGGCTATTGCTCGATACTGGTTCCACATACACAGTTATACCACAATTGGTACAGAAAAGGATGGGGACTCCTGCTGGCTGGAGTGTGATGCCTACACTCGCTACTGGCTACGCTTCCAACACCAGAATGTTTAAGATTTCTGAGCCTTGGGAAGTCAGCTTGGGCGATGGTGTTAATTGGACGGATTGGATGGTGATTGAAGAATTATATCTTTGGCAAAAGGGTCTTCCCCCGAATGTGGTGGATTGTGGTCTGGTTGGTTTTGATATTTTAAATAACACTTACCAGATCAAAGTCCCCGGCAAACCATATGCTTTTGTTACAGATAACAATATTACTAATCAATTACAACAAACTCACAACAGCATTAATGGATCTGACGGATCTGGCTAGTGGTTATCGTGGGTCATAACGTATAAAGTATGAATCTTGCAAGAATTTTCATGAAGTGGAGGCATGACTTCAAGAGCACATTCCATAGGAGAAATTATTATAATAAAATTTCGTAAGCAACATTTTTTGTTCAAGATTGAAAACTTTATCATATATAATCTATTAATTATATAAGTAAATTTAGACACACAATTTATAGTTCGTGCACTATACCTATCTCCCACCAGCTGATCTAACTAAAAGTTTATTCGAGAAAGTTTTTCATTCCGATTGCCCGTAATTTGTTCACAGTACCTTTATTAACACAAAGTCACGTTTGCGTGAACAACTATTCACGATCGCCAGAGAAGCTATCCACAATACTTTGGATTTGTGTGTCCGTCAGATTCGAAATTGTGTTTGCACTATATGTCTGAATTCGTTTGATTTTTTTTCGCTCCAATCTGACTAAACAATGTATAGATGGCTCTCGCCTTCTGAGTTATGTTTGGAAGACGGACTGTCATTTCACTATATACCTGAGACCTTGCCTGTCTATCACCAATTCTATTGTCACTGTTCGTAATTTCTTTAACCCGTTTTTCAAACCTTTCCACATAGTAATACCAACACCAAATTTCCCCTTGATATGCATAAGTCACGCGTTTCTCTGCTTTGATCGCTTTTTGGTATAACCGGGCCAAACCTTGGGATAATGATCCATCAGATAACTCATTCTCATCGGCTTCGTCAGATTCACCTTTAGTGGGTGTGGATAGTTCGGTTATCAAACCTTGTACTTTATTCGGAGGTGCTGGTTCTCGGTCTTGCTCATCGTTGGTTCGATTTGACTGGCTTTGTATGGGTGCAGTAGGTGGTGGAGTCTGATCGTCTGGTATTATCATAGTATTTGATTGCGTTCGTTGATAGACTTCACTGCCGTCTTCCTTCTGGATAATTTCGATGCGCAGTTTACATACCGGACATTTTGCTTCGGTTCCCATGATAATTTCGTGGATACAAGTTTGATGAAGAATATGTCCACAGGAGAGTATCGTGAATGCTCGAAGTGGAACCGATAAAATTTGCCCGTTACATTTGTGGCAATTACTTAGTGTCGGGATGTCTACCCCTTATTGAGAAAGCCTGGTATGTTTTTCAGAAAATTCAATACGAGTGCCTGGAGATGGGTGGTTTCCATTGTGTGTGGATTTGGGGGAAAAAATTCTCTTGATTTCTCGTCTCCCTTATCTACAGGGGGATATCAAAAGTATTGCACGGTCAAAATTTAACTGATTTAATAAAATTATTAATATGGAACTGCCCATGTGATTCTTACACCATATTTGCCTATATATTACTTAAATGTATTGTTGTTTATTATTTTGATTTAATCTTTTATGGATCATAAAATGTGATTTAAAATTTTCTATCATTTTCAATTTTTCGCGCAATGGGTCTTGGTAAAGAATTAACTTCTGCACAAAAGGAAAGCATTATTACAGCCAAAAAATTAGGCCATAATAATACAGAAATTACAAAAGTCATAGGATGTCATCAAATGACAATTACAAGATATCTTGCAGCTTATGAATCAGGAGAACCTTCCAAGAAACAATCGAAAGATATTTGGGAAGCGATTCCGAAAAAAGTATATTGTGACTTGGTGCGATCAATGCCAAATAGAATTCAGGCTGCGATTGCTGCTAATGGAGGACATACAAAATACTAAAGTACTAATTCCAAATATAAAATAAAATTAACTGTTATCTTAATAAAACTTTTTTTTGTTGCTAAAATAAAAGCGTGCAATACTTTTGATACCCCCCTGTATATACATTTTCTGTTACATATGAAATCGCTCGGAAAGACTTACTAAATTTGTGGATCCGATATTAACGGGATTACTTATCTCAGAAGTGATTAATTACGTGTAAAAGAATCATCCTTTATTATTGAAAAAATAAATTACAAAGTCGGGTACAACCCCTGACTATTTGTTGAGAATACTACCAACGCGACGT